CACCAGAATAGAAAGGCTAAAAGTTTTTTTTTTTTTTATCTTTTTGTTAGATTTTTTTGGTGTAATCTAAAACACACTTCCACCTTTAACTCTGAAACCGAACGCATCGGGGATGACGCCAAATAAAAAGGGAGAAATAAAAAGTATTTTACTGGGCCATTCATATTTCGGAGTGTTTAGTCGACATCGTCGTAGATGTTCGGTGGTGAAACCCTTTGCTGGCACTGCCGCTTGGCCTAGGGGCAGTGAAGTAGCTGACGTAGCAAAAGGAAGCGCGCAGGCTTTAGTTTATAAAAGGTGTTGGCCAATAGCCGCAATCTACGGAGGGACCTTGGCCAATGACGAGGCTGATTATGTGTTTATAGACCTAAAAAAAAATGTCCGCACTCTGGCACTGAGCTTCGCGAAACTTGATGCTCAGTGCCATAGCGACGGCGTTCTTTCTTTTAGGTTTAGACATATAACCGGATTAGACATTTGGACGAGTTGGTAGGAGTTAAAGTGTAAAACAGCGCGACTGTCCGGGTCGAAGACAAAGTAGAGAGAGGTCCTGGACAGCGCTGCTCGTCCAGTGTACCTCTTTTTATTTTTTTTTTTTTTTGTTGTTGTTGTTGTTCTCATCCCATTCGCGCTTTCTTTCACTATGAACTTATGATCGGCCTCTTCATTGGCCGAGGGCCCTTCGTAGATCGCGGCTATTGGCTCATCCAAGTGTTTTGTGGGAAATTAGACGCCCCAGATTTCTAAAGCAGCATTCATACTGCTCGTAGATCATGCCAAAGACACGCTGTTCGCTGCAATAGACAGGATGACAGAATTGCCTATAGGCACGCCTCACGGATGCTTCGAACATGTTTGCGAACAGTTTTGGCACTGTCAACGCGTTCCAGACACTGTCTGCAGGCTATCTCTTGAATGCTCTATTAGCAATATAAAACTAGAATATTGAGCATTCCTAAGCTTCAACCTTAACTAGAACATATGGTGGGTGCGGTTATCTATTTTTTAGCTTAAAATCCATTTTTTTAGGCAAAATGTGAATTTAAAAAATCCAATCGTTTGTCAGATTTTTTTTTTTTTCATTTTCATATTAGGCTTAACCAAAACGTCTGTCCGCATCATCGGATGTTTTTTTTTTTTTTTTTTTTTTGCTATGCGCTTTTTTTAATTTTTGGGTATTTTTAACACGCTCCCTGGGGTGCTGCTTTCTGCGGTAATTAATTTAAGGACTCATTTGAGTACCGGTCTATCCAGTTAGAAAGTAGGTGGGCCGCAAACACGTGACCTCGCCCAACTTATAAAAAAATAGAAGTGCCTTATTAATGAGCCTCGCCTAAGTGCGTTCGTCCTTACGAGCCAAAATACCGGTGGAGTAGCGATCATACGCTCAGCCGAAAAGGTAACGCGTGATCGGTAAGGCTGTTAGTTGCCGTTTAATAATGTAGTTAGCACATTGTACAAAAGGTAGGGCTGTGTCCAGGTGTCTCCTAGTCCTAGTTTGGTGGTATAATTCTCAATCTCCGAGCGTTGGTGCTACCGTCCTCCGTGTCAATTGTTACTACTGCGAGTTCGGACATTTCTTATTTTTTTTAATGGGCAATAAAAATAAAATTGAAGCAGTACGCGATGTTAGCGTGTCAAGAAAGCAGTGACGTATGGAGCTTACCAATTGTTGTTGCTGTTGTTTTTGTGGAGGATCCCAAACGCCGAATGAATGACAGGTTCGAGAAGAGACGCACAGATCGAGGCTTTGGTTTATCTATGTATCACTTATAATGGCCTAACAATCCAGGCTCTGTTTGAGCATATGAAGGCTTAAACGTAATGAGGCTCGAACATATTAAGCATTCGGGTTAAACATGTATCATTTCTGCCGGCTTAGCGAGACACTAGCGATAGAGTGTATGATATTTCTATCAGTGTTGTTGGTCGAGATCATAGGACATTCCTATTATTATATTGTGAAATGCAGTTTTCTGTAGGACATTCCATCTTTCGAAGCTGTGAAAACGACCCTATCAGCGGTTAGTGTGGCAGCGTGTGCGAAATGTCACCCGATTTGGTCTCGTTCGAACGACGTGGCAACAGATAATTCAAATTCGATACTAATAACAGGAAATATTTCATAGTGCATTCCTATACAACTTATACCCCTACTAGGTTTCTTTTTTTCCTTCCCCATAATAATACCCTACAGCCTCGCATATCAAATTCTTCTAAAACTATAAATGAGTCACCTCAAGACTTCAACAACAACAAAAAACAAAAAGGCGAACCCGCGCCCTAGAGAACAGGCACCAACAAGGTCAGCCCTAGTCATGCAGGAACAAACCCGATTTGTCTCTCACCTAGATATCGCTGTCCAGCGTTAGATCAACTGCTTCGCGAAACAAAAATACATTGTCGCTGCACGCATCAAAAGCGTTCGAGGTGCGCAGATTTACGAGTAATCATTGATGCTTTCGCTCCGATAAACACCTCTTTTTTATCCACGGTATTTCCACAAACATGGATATCACTGTTTCACCAGAACGATCGCCGAATCGCTCAAAAATTCTTAGTAAATAAAAAAAGAAAACCGCTACGGCTCGTCGTTGTAGTTGAATCATACGCCCGACATTCGCCGTGTTCTTTCGAGGTCACTGGAACAACTCACAATCGGTTTCCAGGCGAGAGCCATGCAGTGAACGCGCGAAGGCAGGCTTCAGCTCGATGCCTGCCCGGTATAACCACAAACATCCGCTCCCACCCACAAATGACTCAACAAAACGATGGTTCTGCGAGCCATCCACACAGCGAAGCTTACCTCATGTTCCGCGCGACAGGCGGACGAACCACCACAGGGGTGCACACCAGCACGACCTAGGTATCCGGGTCACACGTCACACCGACACCACGTCAGCGACCTCGTCGAAGACCAGAAGACCACGTGTGGACTTGTCCGTTGGAGACACAACGCGACCAGCGACCCCACGAAGCGCACTTTGTGGACTCGGCAGCGAGTCGCTGGTCTATAGCGGTCTACTCGTGGACGGGCTGCGGGCACTCGCGGGCACCAGGAGCCCAAGACAATCCCGGGGAGGACGTGGGAGCAAAGCGAAACGCGGTCCTCGAGGAGGGGAGAGCCCCGGGTGTTCGTCCGCGGCTATTTTTACACGCGGCTACACATTTTCTGCTCGGCTTTGCTTGGTTCTGCAAAAAGAACACGGGGGACTCCCGCTCAATGTAGCAAAGAAAAACTCGACGCGAGCGCCTCGGCCCGAGGAACTGGGACAGCGGGGCCCTGGACAACTCTTGCCGAGTCGCGGCTGGGGGCCCGCGGCTATCGCGCCATCTTCCGTGCGCTGCCCAAGTCCCAGGGGGAAGAGGAAGCGTCTTGCGGCGCTTTCACAAAAACGCGTGTGCGACTTTCTCGAGGAGGTTTCATAACCACTCGCGTTGCATACCCACAATGAACAGACATATGTTCCCAAGGCCACGCTCCGACTGCTAATTCATCGTACAAAAGACAGCCTACAGACGCGGTCTGAGGAATGTTTCTTCCTTGCGCCAGGGTCCCGCCACATTTGTCAGACAAAAACGGCCTGAGACCCGTTGGAACCATGATGCAAACATGCTTCCAGCATGTTTCCAGCTGCAGCAAGTCTGGCATCATGTCTGCAGCGAATGATACATCATTATGTCTTATAGCTTCATGTATGAGCTTAAGGGGTGCTTAAATACGGCATTCTTGTCACCTTTACGGCTTTAATCGTTATCCGAAGAAAGAGAAAAAATAAACAAGTCAGGATTAGCGTTCACTCATTATTTCTTTGACTATGAAACATCCGAGTCGGAACAGGGTTCAGGTGTCGCAGCAGATGCGGAAAATAACACCCTCTGGAGATTTCCTGGCCACCTCGAAGGAAACAAAGGGAGCGGACCCACCATTAACTATACAGGCGCACCATATGTGACAATGACTCACGTACTTAAAAAGAAGAAAACAAAAAACAATCGAATAGAATTTAAATTCTTAATGAAGACTCGTCGATGGGGTTTTATTGAACAGCACTCGACTAGAGCAAGCACAGACCACCTTTCCGTGTTCCAGTATCACCTGATAGCGATGCAAAATTAGCTAATTATTGCGCGCCTCTTCTAGACCGAATAACGTTACAATAAATACAAACAAAAAAAGTAGTGCGCACAAAGTTGTCCCCGTAAGGCAGTCGTGGTGTTAGTGCGACCCCCGAAAAGGTCTAAGCTTTTATATATTACAAATCTTATAAAATAACGTGCGAAGATTTTGTTCTTGGTGTTGTTGGTAATGTTGTGTTATCTGTTTACCTTCATATATTCGATCCCTCTTGCACCCTGTCTACTGTGTATTTTTCATATATTTTACGTTTTTACGTTATCAGGAAGGTGCCAATAATTTCGTTTGAGTTCGTAACTTTCAGCTGAACGTTATTTTTTCTTTTCATTTATGTCCATATGTGAACTGCAAGAGATCAGTGCCTCGTCAGGTGTCTTACCTTCTGTACTGGCCTCTCCTTTGAACCCTGTCCTAAAGAAAATGACCGAAATAAATAAATAATTATGCTCGATGAGCTCTTTATACTCTATAGTGCCAACTATGGTGTGATGGTGGCAACGCTACAAAGTCCGTTGTTTCACCGTTCGTTACTACGCTCCACGAGCTATTCTCCTTTGCGCATTCGAGTAATGCCTGCGGGGATCAAGAAGAGCACGTCCCTCAGCTGTCCCGCTGGCGCGCATCAACTGCGGCCTGTGGCAGCTGCGAGCCAACACCATCTAGAACAATGAAAGCATCCGAACGCCCCAGTCTTCCTCCATGGAGCGTCATCAAAGTCGGATGGCGCCGACTCGGCAATTGGACCCGAGTTCGACGCCGCGCGTCCTTCTTGGCGTTGATTGGACACGAGGTTGAGCCGAGCACTAACGCAGCACTCGTATACAATCTGTACCATCGCTCGATCTCGCTGTGATGACGTCAAAATTCTATCGCACGCGGGCTTTGATTATTCTAGGTGGTGTTTCCCGATCCCGGTCACCAGAAGCGTCCGTCGCACGAGGCCATCTTAGAGAGTGCGAGGCCCACGCACAGTTCGCAGCAGAAGGCGGTCGCGGCGAAGCCTAGCGAGACGAGCCAGAGCACAAAGATGCCCCAGAGGTCAGACAGAGCCAGAGTGGCCGCCGAGTCCTGCTGGATGGAGCCCCCGCAGCGGCTCATATCGCCCGTCGCCGTCGTCCACCAGTGGTCCACAAGGCCGGCCTCGACGAGGTGCCGGATCCTGCACCCAAGAGCCGGGAGCGTACACAACACCTCCCACACACTAGAAAATGTTACACCCTTAGGGGTGTAATACCTCATTTACACGATCATAGAGGTCCCTTTAGCTAAGGGACCTCTATGGTCGGCGGCGAATCAGTTCGCGATTCTCCGCACGTGGCATGCGCTCGCCACCCAAGAACGCTGGCTGCTTAGCCCTGGGACAAGCAGATTTACGGGTCTAGCACATTAGTGTGGGGATAACAAAGCCACTGTGCTGAATGCTCAGCATCACCTAGAGCAGCCCAACAAAGGGGCGCAGACTGCGTCAGCGCTAGGCTGAGGATCGTGTTCTCATTGATCGAACACGCTGAAGCAGCAGTGCTCAATCTCTGAACTCCGGCAGTTGATTGGTCTATGCCAGCAAAGGCATATTGCCGTCCGTCCCCAACAAGCGACAGCGAAGAAGGAAGGATACCCACACGCGGTTGACATCGGCGCGGAAGCCCGGATCCATGTCCATCCTGGTGAAGCTGTTGAGCGGGTGCGAGACCAAGCCTTCCTGGGCCAGGTAGAACTCGCTGTCGTGGAAGGCGCCGCACACGTTGGACACCCGGAACACCAGGGACGTGCCGTCGCTGATGACCACGGCCCGGCCCAGGACGACGCGCTTGAGCAGCTCCTGGCCGTACAGGATGGACGCGGGCTGCGCGGTGCCCCGTTCCTCCACGACGCGCCCGATCTTGCGCAGGTCTTCGTTGGTCGAGTGCTGAAGGCGACGACATGGTGCGTAACACTGCTTGAAATTGGGCTGGTTGGTTGTTCGTTGCTTTGGTTAAACTGCGCTAAGAAGGATTACAAATGGCGGCACTGAGACGAGAAAGACAACGCGATAGACAGGAACGGGTGCCTATTTCTGTTTGTCGCGTTGTCTTTCTCGTCCCAGTGTCGTCATTCGTAATTCTTCGTAGCGCAGCTGAACCAAAACATCGACGAGCTCGCGATCATTCGGGACAGGCAGGTACCGTCAGTGTTGTCACGACTCACGCGTGGTCTGCGAATGTGTGGACAACGTTCTAAAGCCGCAGGCACCCTGCTAATACATCATACAAAAGACAGCCTGCAAACGCTAATTCATTACTGTAACAAAGTAGAGAGCTGGGCTAGTTAGCGGAGGTTTAACATAGTGTGGGTGTAACAGTGCGTAACAACAAAGACTAAGAGAAGGAACACATATTACAGGACGACCGCTGACTCGCAACTAAATGTTTAATAGTGAAAACAGAAACATATTAAACATTTAGTTGCAAATCAGTGCTCGTCCTGTGTTGTGTGTTTCTTCTCGTCTTGGTTGTTACGCGCTGTTACCCCTACACCATGTTAAGATTAATAGACCTATAGCTATATTACCCAAGCATCAAGGAGAATGCAGATATTGGTGTTCCACGCGCCACACGTGCTGGCCTCAGCAGTATAGTAACTTTTTTAAAGCAAATACCTAAAACAAATGGCATCTTTCACACGCGTTCGTCAACGCTTATTTTTGGCTATTTACTTCGAACCTTTATACGGGGAAGGCATGCGCGCGTGGTGCGTGGAACATCAATCCTTGCATTCTCCTTGATGTTTGGGTAATATAGCAAATGGTCTATAACTGCTGCTATTACACGCCTGCCTATTATGAAACACGCGTCAGCGGGTGTGTCCAGCGCATTAAGCATCATCTCGTACTGCGAAAGCATTCCTGGCGATTCGGAAGATGCTGAATTTCAGCTGGAGCAAGTCCAGAAGTGACGTTAAGCTCCTGTCAAGTCTAAAGTTAGCAAAAAATCTCTGACCCCGAATAATCAGCAACCCCATCTCACGGTGGTAATCAAGCCGAAGGACCCAGCCAAGATGATCACCGCAATTAACCTAATATTGTTCTAAAAAAAATCCCCTTTAGATATTAACTCGTACCGCGCAATAGCATTGACTAGCTGCATTAGCAAAGTGATGGAAAGAATGCTGCTGGCCCGTATGAAGTGGGATTAGTGGAAAAAAGTGGACTCTCTCCTTCCTCCATAAATGGATTTCGGCGAGGAAGGAGCAGTAGCGACAATGTCACTGATTCAGTGACTAGCATTGAACAAATGAAAACCATCAAACAGATAACAACCGCTGTATTCGTAGATATAAAATCAACGTTGGATTCTGTGGACCATGGGGTTATTTTTCATAATACGAGGGCATTGGGACTTGGGGTGCGCGTATCAAGGGGGCACGACAAAGCCATGCCGGCGTTAACAGTCTTCATGACGCAGATGCTGTTGCTCCTGTTCACGGCATCACCAAGTACCTCGGACGGCGATGGGGCCTGCCCTTCGTCATGGTCGCGGGAGCACCCGTTCAACACCGACTCAGCAACGCAAGAGGAGGCTCCTGCTGCCTCACTCCTGACGTGGCCAACGTGGTCCCTCACCGACAACAACCGCAGGATGGCGCACCGTGGGACGTTTCCTTTTCCGTCCGTCGGCTGCCTTCAAAAGCATCTTCCACCGCTGCAATCGCTGGGGCACGACAAAGCCATGCCGGCGTTAACAGTCTTCATGACGCAGATGCTGTTGCTCCTGTTCACGGCATCACCAAGTACCTCGGACGGCGATGGGGCCTGCCCTTCGTCATGGTCGCGGGAGCACCCGTTCAACACCGACTCAGCAACGCAAGAGGAAGCTCCTGCTGCCTCACTCCTGACGTGGCCAACGTGGTCCCTCACCGACAACAACCGCAGGATGGCGCACCGTGGGACGTTTCCTTTTCCGTCCGTCGGCTGCCTTCAAAAGCATCTTCCACCGCTGCAATCGCTGGGGCACGACAAAGCCATGCCGGCGTTAACAGTCTTCATGACGCAGGTTAGTTACATGCAAAACGCAAATTGGAAACAACCAAATAACACCCTACCTTTTGAAATGTCGTGCCCCATCGACATGAAGCGCCTACTAACCCTTTCTAGCGACGCAGTCATTTTTGTATTTTCATGCAAAGCCTGTATCGAATTTCTTAGAGTCTTGCTGCTGCTTTCCGGCGATGTGGAAAGGAACCCAGGCCCCATGTCTCTAGCCCAAATAGAAGAATTCAATAATCTTAAAGACACTGTTACAAAACTTCAGGCGAGTCATTCTACGCTTCAGCAGGAAGTCACTCAGCTTAAAGAGCAGCAAAAGCAGTACGAAGCGACCGTTTCGGCCCTTGAGGAGCGCGTAGACCAGCTCTCAAGTGAACTGAATTCCCGGAAAGAAACAGGTGATTGCGATACATCTACTCCACCTCACCTTACGGAGGCTTTAAACGAGCTGTCTAAATTAAAAGCGCGCTGCGACGACGCGGAGGGCAGATCCCGCCGTTCTAATCTAATATTTTTTGGAATCGCTGACACTGACAAAGAAACTTGGGCTCAATCTGAGGGCTTGATCACAAGCCTGTGTTCCGAGAAACTCGGTATCGAAGTTTTACCTTCCGGAATTGAAAGAGCTCACCGGTTAGGAGCATTCCATCAGCAGAAAATTCGTCCCATCATTGTCAAGTTTTCATCGTTCAAAGAAAAAGAGGGCATTCTTGGTTCTGCGCACAAGCTTAAGGGCTCACGCGTTGCAATTAGTGAAGATTTTCCACTTTCTGTAAGGCTCGCACGACGTCGTCTTCTTGATTTTGCCAAACCAAAGGGAACGCCTTTTCGGCTGCGTCACGATAAACTTTTCATAGATGGCAAGTGTTTTGTGTTCGATGACGCTATCGGCTCGGTTGTTGAAAAATGTACGTAGCAATGCCGGCGTTCTTCGCGTGTGCCCACTCACAATCAAACTGCCAAACCTCACGTTATCAACAAGATATCTTCTATTCATTCTATTTTGTTTACTAACATTAGAAGCCTAATCCCAAAGAGAGATGATGTGAATTCCTTGATTCAAACATGCAACGCCGACTTCATTGTTCTCACTGAGACGTGGTTGAATCCCGACATATCAGATGCTGAATTGTTTCCTCCTTATCCAAACTTTCGTGTGTACAGGTGCGACAGAATTACTAGAAAGGGGGGAGGCGTACTTTTGGCTATTAATAATCAAATCACGTCTCGGCTCATTCCACTTTCTACCGCACTAGAAGTCGTATGGGTTTATCTCCCTACGGCGCCCTCTGTTGTACTGGGCGTATGTTATAGGCCACCTGATAGTAATAAGGAATTCACCTTTGAGCTTAATAAGTGTCTTTCTGAACTCGCTACTCAATATCCTAACGCTTCTGTTGTACTTCTTGGGGATTTTAATTACCCGAATATTAATTGGTCTACCTTCACATCCACTTGCACTTCCTCTCAAGAATTTATAGATCTTTGCCTAGATTATAACCTAACAAATATTATCACACAGCCTACTAGAATTACCGACTGCTGCAGCAATATACTCGACTTGTGCTTAAGTCAGGATCCTTCTCTTTTTAGCAACGTTACCTACTTAACAGGAATCAGCGACCATCTTGTCATCGACATAACACTCTCTCTCGCTGTTCCTCGAAAATCACATTATTGCAAATACATTCGCGACTACGCGAGGGCCGACTATGTGTCTATCAACGCATGCCTCGAAGACTTTTACCAATCATTCTCTGTTAATCTCGAGGAAAGAACCGTCAATGAAAATTGGACGCTCTATAAAAATAAGCTATCCCACTTGGTTGAGCGCTTCATCCCATTGACCCGCATCATATCAGATAACTGTCACCCATGGTATAACAAAACGGTGCATAGTCATGCTAACAAGAAAAAGCGACTTTATAAACGAGCGAAATCTGTCAACAATGCAGCCTCGTGGGATGCATATCATGCGTGTGCTAGAACATACAAAACCGCCATTGCTGATGCTAAAATTAAGTTTTATACTCACGACCTCCCCAACATTTTAACAAATAAACCCAAAAAGTTCTGGAAAGTGGTCAACCCAGCTCTGTCTCTTCCATTGCAGTTCATTAACGACAACGGCATCCCACTTTCAGACGAAGATAGCGCTCTTTACCTTAACAATTTCTTCACATCAATCTTTACTAAAGAAGACTTGCTAAACGTTCCCGACTCATGCCCATTAACTCACCCCCAGATGAATCCTATCATAATTGACCACGCAGGTGTATTGAAAGCAATAGAAAACCTAAAGGTTTCCTCGAGCTCTGGAGATGACCAAATTAATTCGAAGGTATTAATAAACACTAAACATATTTCCTCTGTTTTTCTCTGTGACATTTTCTCACAATCGCTCACGCTTTCCATAATTCCACGTGACTGGAAAATAGCTAACGTAATACCTGTTCACAAAACTGGTGATCGCCAACTAATAAGTAATTACCGTCCCATCTCTCTCACCAGTGTTCCATCTAAGCTCATGGAGCATATACTTTACTCAAATATAATAAACTTTCTTGACTCTCATAACCTTCTTTTTAAACATCAGCACGGATTTCGTAAATCTTACTCTTGTGAAACCCAGCTAACCGCCTTCCTTACTGATATTTACTCAAGCTTTGATTCGAATATTCAGACCGACGCCATTTTCATTGACTTCTCCAAAGCATTTGATAAAGTACCCCACCAACGTCTTTTAACAAAGCTTAACGATATTAATATTCATCCCTCTGTTGTTAAGTGGATTTCTGAATTCCTAATTAACCGTAAGCAATATTCCTCCGTTAACAACGTAAAATCTCCCACCTCTACCGTAACGTCAGGTGTCCCCCAGGGAACCGTACTGGGCCTCCTTCTGTTCCTAATCTATATTAATGATCTCCACCTTAACATCGCTTCTTCTGTGCGGCTGTTCGCCGACGATTGTGTCATTTACCGACCCATTCTTTCAAACCATGATCATCATGCTCTCCAGGAAGACCTAGAGTCTGTAATCCATTGGTGCGAAAAATGGCAGATGACATTAAACTTCAATAAATGTAGATCCCTATCAATTTCCCGCAGTTCGCGTGCCACACCATTTTCGTGTTACCTCTCTAACACTCAAGTAATAGCATGCTCATCTTATAAGTACCTGGGTGTTCATCTCACCTCTGACCTATCATGGACTACTCACATAACTTCTGTTATTTCTGATACTAACCGTTCTCTCGGATACTTGCGCCGTAACCTTAAACTTGCTACACCCTCCGTAAAACGACTAGCGTATACTACTCTTATAAGATCGAAATTAGAATACGCCTCATCTATATGGTCCCTATGGCAGTCCTACCTTGCAAATAATCTAGAATCCGTCCAAAACAGAGCCCTTCGTTTTATTTATAACAACTACTCACCATATACCAGCATATCAGGATTACGCCAATCAGCTAACCTTCATTCACTTTCCCTTCGCCGCCGAGTATCACGCCTTTCTCTCCTCCATCGAATTTTCTATCACAATAGCCACCTTAAAGAATCACTGCTATCACCTCCCCATCGTATTTTCCCGCGTCTAGATCACCTATGTAAATTACGTCCAATTCGATCATCAACTGTTTCTCACCAGACTTCCACACTACCATTGGCCATCGAGGATTGGAATTCACTACCTCATAACATCGTTTGTATTAATGATACTACTAAATTTGTTGAAGCCATTACCCTCTTTTTATCTAACCTACCTAGCTAGCTTACAGTGTTATAATTGTGTTTACTGTTCTATTTGTTTTTGCTCTATTGCCACCCCCTTGTATAATGCCCCACGGGCCCTCAAGGAAAATAAATGATGATGATGATGATGATGATACCTAAACTGCCAGCTACGTCAGGGAGGGACAAGTTTTCTTGTCCATAGAAGACGTAAACACCAGCTTCCACGAAATCAAGCGAGCAGTTCCGCAAGGAGAGGTTCTCAGCGCTATACTGTTTAGCATGATGCTCATAGGCCTTATTAAAATGCTTCCAAGAACTGTATCGATCTATGCTGACGACATCGGTTTCTGGGCGTGCAGCAGATATTTATATATAAATAAAGCACGATTACAGGAAGCCATCAAGATCACAGCATTGAACCTTCTTTATCGGTGTCTCTACATATCACCAAACAAATCAGCTGCAATGGAATTCACCAATAAACTTACTGACAAATACCCAATTACTCTAGATGAAATTGCTATTGCATATGTTCCGAAAAACACATTTCTGGATGTACCCTGGATAGACACCTGACTTGGAACTCACACATAAAGCGCTTAAAGAAGAAGCTGATCTCATTCGTTTAAACAATCAGAATGATAATCGGAACTAAAAGGGGTGGCTCTTCCTCGGCCCTCATGGCCCTTTACAATGCCTTGTTTCTCGGGCAGTTGCCCTAAAGTCTACAGCTGTTATCCATAAAGCATCACGACCTCTACTGAAAGAACTCAAAAGTACTCAAGCACAAGCTTTGCGAGCGTGCTTAGGACTGCCTAAATGTGCTTCAAATATGAGAACTCTGGCAGAGGCGCGAGCACTCTCACCCGTCATTTCACAAACACAAGAAACCTTGCGCGCCTATCTTCGTCGCAAAACTCGAGTATATACACACCATCGGGGAAATATTGCGACTGAAAGGCCATCACAAGGTTTCGCAGAGGTTGTAAGAGTGCTCGAATATTTCATTCTCAGTGGTTTTGAAACTGTGCCTATTCCGACGTATCCGCCGTAAAAGTACCCTCCCCCCCCTCCCTTTTTAAGAAGTTACAAAAAACATTCCATATGATCCCAGGGATCACATCAAAAACAGCAATGCCCATCCTTGTGATTACTCAGGTTGCTTTTTAACACATCCATCGGACCTAATCTTACTACAGTGATATCTTCACTGATGGTTCCACAATGCCTGCATTATCTTTTTGAAGGGTATATCTACGGGCACATCATTAAATGCAAAACTAAGCCACGTTACATCATCAACAGAGGCAGAGCTCGTAGCAATACGAGCAGCCGTCACAGATGTAGAAAGTCCAGAATTTTGGGCAATATTTGTTGACTCTAAAAGTGTAGCCCATATTTTCATACTTCCCACGAAATACGGGAAACAGCTCGCCGTGATACATGACAGGGACGAAATATTATTCTACCATGGATTCCCGCTCATTGTGGGGTCGCCGGGAACGTCTCTGCTGACAGAGCCGCCAGAGATGACCACAAGAGCGCGTTAACGGCCTGAATTCCATTCTCGAGATCAGACGCGATTATCTTATTGAGGAATATAGGCAAAGAAATGACAACTTGTCTGTGGAAAAACCCTAAACATCACTACACTTTTCGTTACCATGTAGATCCTCAGCTGCATTTCCGTGTTCCATGAGGACTTCCAAGAGAAATCGAGACAGTATTGCATCGTCTAAGACTCAAAGTTGCACACACTAACAAGTACCTTCATAAAATAAGCAGAACTGGCTCTTTCGAATGCACACGTTTCGAATGTTGGATGCCCATGGCATCCAACATCTGTAGTGCTATTGCTTAAAATATAACCTTGAAAGGAAGGCAATGAAGCCCGACTGAACCTGACAGAAGACCAGACAGACCTTAATGTTCTGCTTGGTACTTGGACGGGTCTCCTGCACACGCGTAAACGCCCATGGAAGCTCTTCTGAAATTCCTCGAGAAGATTCGCCTGCCCCGAAGACTCTAGCAAGTGCAGGTGGACTGATAAAAAAAATAACGAACCTAGCATTTTTTATGTTAATCTTGGTGTTCGTTGTGTGATATTTATTTTTAGACCGCAGACAGTCTGCAGACTGCATCTTTTGGGCGATGTATGAGCAGTGTGGGTGAGGTTTCAAAGAAACGTCTGCGTGCTCACTTTCCTGCAGAACACGGAGGCAACCAATGGTGGCGAAGAATAGAAGAATCTCAGCGAATGAAGAGGCTGAGAATACACAGGGGCAATGAGCAAGTGAAACGTCGTCCTCATTGTTCCTGAACACATCGCTTTTTTTTTTTTCTATTCGCATTTCAGTTTTGTCATTCACTGGGATCTTTTTATTCTTCGCCGTGGTTAGCTGTCCCCAGTGTACTGCGGAAAATATAACTCTCGGAGCTTCTAACATTTTAAAAACTCCGCGAGTTAAATATTCGCGCTATGGCGTCAAAACAACAGCTCCGCTCCGTTGCCAACACTCTATCTCGTGGCCTCGCCAAGTTGCCACGGTGCAACCAACACGAGCGATCGAGGCCCGTGCAGAGTTCCCATATAAAAGCGGCGCTTTAAATTATTGACCAAGAAAGAGAGAAGTTTCGCAGACGCTTTACCCACGGTGCAAAGTATTATCTTACACCGTGGCTTCAACTCACGTGAATCGCGTTTCTGCGCACTCGCAGCCCCTCCCTCCCCCCCCCCCCCCCCCCCCCCCTTGGTGCGTGCAACGGCGGGCTTGTTCGCAAACACCGCGTTGGTCCGACAGCCTTGGGACTCACCGCCACCATACCGACGTAGGAGGTGCCCTTCCACATGAAGGGCTGCACCACGGGCTTCCGCACCAGCTGGCGCACTGAGTCGATCTTCTCCACCTCGGACTTGATCATGAGGCAGGCCCGCATGTGGCCGCAGAACGCATTCATGAGCACGATGGTGGCCAGCCACCACACGCTGCTCAGCAGCCGCAGCACGCTGCGCCGCGGAGGCGCTGCCGAGCCTGCAGCGCGTTAAAGGGAGCAAATAAAGAAAGGGTGTCAGAATTATCTGTGCGCAGGCCTCAAGCGCTTCATACTATGCTAGGAAGATGCCCGCAGACAGCTTTTGTACGGCTAGCGTGTCACCCAAGAGAGTCTCAAACAGCTTTCATGAACTTTCTTTTCGTATAACGCGTTAGCGGTGTGAGCGCAGCCTAACTATCCTAGCAAAAGCAGAGGCAACACGGAATACGTCGAGTGTTGATTCGCGGTGATGGTCATGGTGCACGCAAGAACGTGGTACGCACCCTGTTCCTCGACGGCGCGAACATCGTCGTGCGTGTACAGGGAGAACTTTTAGGAGAGGATAAGACGAGAGCCCGCGGGAGCGTCGGAACATCGAGCTCTGCTTGAAATGATCAGTGGTCACACCCGCAAAGCTAGCTGACTTTGTCTCGACTCAGTGTTCGAACGCGGTCGAGCAGCTAAACATTAAACATATAAAGATAGGCTGGGATGTGTAGTTTCCGTACAGTTTGAGACAGGCCCCGCTATAGGATGCATTTTGACGTATTGTTCAGGGATCAGATTGTCTCCCAGGCAGCATCTACCTTCCATGAAGAGGTTTTCCAGATACTGCCACAGAGCGTCGCTGAGCTTCCCCAGGAACCTTGTCCACGTCCACCTCTTGGTGTCGTAGAAACCTTGGGCGATTCCGGTCACCAGCGTGGTTATCAGCAGAGCAGCGCTCAGAAACATCCACACCTGGGAAGTGGAGCAGGAGTGGTTCGATGTGCGCCAAAGTCACTCAGTTATGTTTCCGAATTGTGGTCTGTTGTCCTCCCCCCCCTCCCTTTGTCTCAGGGTTTTATAAGTATGACCATTCACCAGCCAGCCTGTGCCATTACTCTTATTTAGATATAAACTTGTAAATACTGGAAAAACTTGGGTATTGTTATACGCGGATTGACTCCAGGGCTACCTGATAGATGGCGCCACTGTGTTCTCTCGTCGTAGGCAGTCACCAGTGGTCATAACGCAGCCGTTCGAAGTTAAACCTAAGTTTGAACCAGCCTTAAGAGTGTAATGGTATCTACACATATACACAACATTACACGCCCTTAATTGTAGGGGTGTGAGGGTGTAATGCTGGAGTGAGCAACCATTACATAGGCGTTTGTTACGATGTGAGTTATAGACACTTCAAAACATTCTTAAGGGTGCAAACTAATTTAGAGTCAGGGAAAAGTCAGCACGGCAAGCTTACAACGATATATGTTTTCGCGAAACCGTCACCACAGTGTCTCGGAAGAGTAATTTACTCTGCAATCGCTTCTACGATTTTAAGGCTCCAGACAAAAAAAATAAATAAATAAATAAGCCTAAAATTTGGGGTTCACGTATTATGCCGCAGCTGCTCCGAAAATTTCATTAAACGTTTTAATTGCCATAAACAACTCGCAGGAGTTACTCCAGTTCTTTTCAGCATAATCACCAGCCACCTCAAGACACCCTTTCATTCGATGAATTCAACGGTCGAAGCAATGCTGGAAGTCATCCCGTTTCACGAGGTTAAGTTGCTACTCAACTGCCGAAATCAGGTCTTTTCTTGCCTCAGACATCTTGTCCACGGAGGGTTCCTTCAGTTTGAAAAATAAACAAAAGTCACAGTGCTCCACGTCAGGAGGATAGGCGAGTGGAGTGAGCAGATCGATCCTAGATTCAGCGATGAAGTTTAACGTTCTGCCAGACGTCTGACGACGCAGTTCCTTCTTGGAGCGACCTCCGAGTAGTTGATCTGTTTTCTCATTTATACTTCCCAAATAATACGACTAACAGAGGTTATCGCGTGATCTACTAAAGTAACACAAGAGCGAGGTTTGCTCTTCGGGTAATTGTACTATAGGCCGTTTTCAAAAGTGCACTTCATCTAGTAGCTGCTGCGACAGCTATCCGAGTCCGCCATTGATTGGGCATGCACCATGAGCTCCTATTGGACACGAGTGTGACGTCAGCGTTCGGCTAGGACTCGGATCCAATCAGACGCTTCGTGCCCAGGCAATGCCGACCGCCAACGTTCCTCGATGGAGTTTTGAAAAGCGTTTATTGTAGGAGAAACTAGTCATCAATAAATTTTCATCGCGAATAGTCGCATTCGCATTAAACAGCTTTCTTTTATATATATATATATATATATATATATATATATATATATATATATATATATATAGCAGCGTGTTTAGCAGTACAGCGCCACGCTCACCATCCAGTCAAAGGCCAAGACGTAGCCGAAGACGTTGCTGTCCTGGGCGTGCTTTCTACCGGCTAAAATGCGCAACTCCTCGTGGTAGAACACCGTGGTTGGATTCGCGAACTCCAGCCTTTCCTCTGCCGGGAAGAAGGGACCCATGGCCAAGTCGCTTTCCTGGACAGAGAAAAAGTAGCAGCGCCTTTTTTTTTTCGTTTTTACCGGACTGCAAATTCGTACAAGTTGACATCTCTTGGAGACATCGAGACGAAAATACGGTGAAAAAATCACGTAAGGTATTATCGGCTTAAAGGCTGACAAAAAGAAAAATGCACCGGAAGATATACAGCTACAAGTTGGCTACAAGAAATGCAACTATAGAAAACAAATCTCGACTAAAAAAGAAAGAAAAAACTCATCATAAATACGTGCAAGAATTTTTATTTTTTATTGTCCAGTTTATCTTCCAGCTATGTATAATGCAATGCTGCGATACGTGCAATAGGGTAATAATTCAAGCTGCGGCGAACAAGGTACGACCTCTAACGGATTCAGTCATGGTTCTCAAGCGCGAGCACAAACACGAGTATACTTCTGGCTAACTTGAAGGAGTCGATCTCCCTTGGTAGCTTACACTCTAAAAAAACGTCTGTGCGTCTACTTTCCCGCACAACACTCGGAGAACCAATCAGCGCAACTTACGGAGGCTGCTCAGCGAATGACGATGCCGAAACATCTGTTTAGATTAAAAACCGCAGTCTGAGTTGTGACATCAAGCAATGCAAAACGAAACGCTTGCATTGCTTAATGTCACAACTCAGACTGCGGTTTTTGGTCTAAACAGATGTTTCGGCATCGTCATTCCCTGAGCAGCCTTCGTAAGTTGCGCTGGTTGGTTCTCCGAGTGTTGTGCGGGAAAGTAGACGCACAGACGTTTTTTAGAGTGTAGGACGGGAGTTAGACCTATCTCACCAGGCAGTTTGGCTACTGCACCGTTGCCGCGGTGCATCCAGGGAGCTTTAGTATTTTTGCAGGTGCATTGGCCTCGCTGGAGCTTTGCGCGCGCAGAGCATCAGACGGACCGAGCTGCCTCGTACGCTGCCACCTTTCTCCCGTAAACTAAAATTATGGCGGCACCACGCATGTGCCAAACCCTTGGTTAGATCCGTAGTGTTGTGTGAAGTACATCCAGAAAGTACTTATAGTAGAGTACAAAGTAAATGAAAAGGTATGTACTTGAAGTAAGTAAGTATACTCCGGGCGGAATGTACTTGAAGTAAAGCACAATAAATACAATATATTGTCAAAGTAAAGTACAAGTACTTTTTAAGACAATTTTTATTATGCCCTTTCATTACCCCATGCAGTGTTTTTTTTTTTTTTGTTTTTTTTTTCTTTTAGCCGGTATGCATTGACCAGGGAGAAATCGGCGGTTCATCAGTTATTTTCGAAAATCGCGGTGAATATTGCATAAAGTCAAGTGGTCACACAGTAGATGTTTTACTCTCGCTGATAAACTATTTAAAACAATCAACTTGTAGGGTACTAATTTTTAGCAGTCTTATAACCACCATTACTTCACTAAAAACAATTCCCAGATGATATCTCGAAAGACGATAGCGCGCTTTCACATGACTATACGCAATTGTTGTTAGGGGTTGACAAAGCATCATTTTGTGATATAAATTTAACGAGTCCAAATTTGGGGGATGAACTTTCCTCGGAAAGTACCAAAAAAAAATACTTTAAGTAAAATACGAGTTCATACTCAGAGAATGTACTTCAAATAAAGTAAAAGTTTTCCAAACCTACTTGAAGTATACTCTAAAACAAAATCCGTTCTTGAAAGGTTCTTCGACGCCCCAAGAACTCGTTCCGTTCGTGAAGAATGGTTTCGCCTCCAGCACTATCGCCCCTTAAAACCCCGTATACGTTTTTCACGAAGAACCCTTTTATGGGGTGCTAAAAAGAACTGTTTAGGTTGTAAAATATAGAGAAGCTGAAGAACCCCTAAAAAAATTTTTTACGACCAGATTTTTTTTAGAGTGTATAGTACTTTAAGCACAATGTACCTAAAGTACTTCCCAACACTTGAAATCGGTCCATTGCCTCACTGTGAATTTGTGATTGTTCAAGTTGATTTGCGTTCTTACATGCAGCCGAGTTATTTTGGTTAGATTCATTTCGATACCTGTAACTTTGCATCAAGACGTTTTCCAGGGCGAGGTTTGACCCGCACTCCGGACACACAGAAAAGCAAAAAGGTACCCAGATCGAATTTACGCAGTAAATCTTGGACAAACGCACGTTTCTGAAGAGCATGCCCATTGAGCCCGTCCACGTCCCGTCTGGTTGAGGACTGCCCGTTGTCACCTCACGAGGCACGGCGATGGTGTAACTGGGAGGGAAAGCAACCGCACCTGATGACGGCACTCGGGCACCGAGTACACTCTGGAAGTAGCTACTCGCCTGTACTGCTCCTATCTTTATTGAATGAAACAAATTAAAACGCTATCATGATTGCTCTAAACTATAGTTCCGCTGTCGGAACGAAATCAAAAGCACATGAGCCCACCTTTAACGGGAATATTTATGCGAGAATATCGCTGCACTCCACTGTAGAGTAGAAACCCTAAAGCAGCGGTCAGACTGCTCGTACAGCAGACAAAAGATACGCTGTTTGCTGCAGACATGACGAAGCATGTTTTCTTCATGTCTGCAGGCAGTGTTTGTATGAACAATCTGACTGCGGCTTCGCGGAGAGAAGGTCGTCTGCTTCTTGCGCAGGAGTGTCTGAGACGTCAGACAGACGCCGAGCCCTGATTGGCTCCGATTGAAGGATAGTGGGTAGGCGTCAAAGCAAGCTGCCTTGACGTCTACCCACTATCCTCTATTCAGAACCAATCAGCAGAGCTCGGCGTTCTGACGTCAGCACAACCCCTGCAAAAGAAGCAGACCAACTTGCGCTCCCCATAGCAGAAAAAACACGCACGAGGCAGTGCCTGTAGACTAGGGTGTAAGATAGACAGGTGGGGAAACGGCCCATAGAAGCCTACGGCAGCGCAGTGACCGTATTGTGTACTCGTCTGCTTGCGGGTACCCCCGACTTGCGACAGATGGCGCTGCGGCGAGAAGAAAAAAAATCGGAATCGAATTTGCGTGGAACTTTATGGGAAAGTGCGCAAAATAAACCGAGATCACGACAGTCCTTCATCAAAAATCCACGAGAAACCATCTCCGTCAGTTTAGCCGGTCGCCACCGGTCGCCCACCTGGAGTGAGAGTTCGCGGTGCTCCACATAGATGGCGCCACAGAAAAAGAGAAAACCGAGGGGGACACAATGCGGTCACTCATTTGGCTCTCGTTTCCCCACCTGTCTATCTTACACCCTGCTGTAGACTGTCTTTTGTAGAGCACGCGGGCCAATTCTTGCCTCTAAAAAAAAAAAAAAACGCTCGCGTATTGTCATGTTGTTTAGCGGGTTTGCGTTCATTCGAGGATATGGGTTCTACGAAACGATACATGTCGATCTTGTATATTCGTTTTCCTTTTCAGCAGCAATCCTCGCCGCAGCCTCCAATGACACAATGGCTGCCACAGTCTCTCTGGTGCGATCAAACCGTTGAGTGGTGAACGCACTTGAAGCGCAGCACGGCGACCAGGGAGTTGAAGATGTTGCCGAGCGGCCCGGACAACACGTACTCTCCTTGGCTGTTCGTAACCATGGTCGTGTGCGGTTTATACTGAAAACAACAACAACAACAAAGAAATAGTACAGCTATCTCATGCTTTTGGACTGGATAGACCCACAGCCTCTCATGGCTAGTTGCAGCGAATTCATGAAGCAAACACTAAAGACTGGAACCGTATGATCAAAACGGAAAAAAACAAACAAACAAAAACAGCGCCGAAAAACACAGGGACACAGACGAAGGAAAGCAAGACAAGGCGCACTCTCACCTGAAGTTTATTGAAATTAAAAAGCTTATATAGCCACAAAAAAAAAAACATTGTTAATCTTAACTACTCAGTCCGCGTTTCAGAAATTCAAACTCGTGCGTAGATAAAGACACGACCGTGTCACTTATACAATAATTTTCCCTGGACCTAATTTCAAATGTCTCGTGTAATTCTCGCGATACTTTATTTTTGTATCTAGCCAAAATCTTAGTGTCAGAAGGTTTTTGCGGCTATATTAGCTTGTCAATTTTAATAAACTTCAATTGAGAGTGCGCCTTGTGCTGTTTCCCTTCGCCTGTGTCCCTGTGTTTTTCGGCCCTATGTCTTTTTTTTTTTTCGATGAACCAACTGGTCAAAATTTCTGTGTTTATTGCCATATGATCGAATAAAAATCAACATTTTGTGCGCAGTCACGGCTTTCCTTGCAAGTGTTTTTTTTTTTTTCCCCGAGACACAGAAAGTGCCAAAAATAATTTACTCTAATTTTTAGGACGATTATTTGTCGACCATTGCAGGACCTCACAAAGCAAACTTATGAAGCTGGTTATAATGCAGTCGGTGCACAAAACTCGAGACAAGACAGAAACAGGGCACACCAAAAAGTCAGCCCAGCATTTACACTAAAAGCTTAATAAAAATTCGTTAGTGACCTGATTTGTTTTTTTTTTTTTTTCTTTTTATGTCTTTCCCTCATTTTGGAGGTTTACAAATATTGCTATAAATATGAAGATAGGCTACACCACGACTCGCCTTAACGTGAACTACTGCGAAGCCTACTAGAGTAAACAGGCAACTTTGGTAGTTTTCCCTGTCGACCGAGCGTTTTGGTGCAACCGCTGTCTTTGTTAAGGTAAAAAGACTGTAAAAAGACATCACGAGTCTTCCTACAGCGATCATAACGTGCGAGAATGGAGAATGAATTGCAAATCTTACCGGAATGATTGAAACCCGAACGGTTTTTCCGTTCATGCTTGTCTGCTCATACAACGGAGACGCTCGCACGAAAAACGGATCCTTGCAGGGATACAGAGTTAACCACTTGACCAGAGGGACCGAATCGAGAGCAATGCTACCTAAAAGAATCTCAGTGCTGCCAGCTAAGGCCTCAAGTGATTCGTTGGCCACAGGATGACGTGGACGTCATCCAACCACCAATCATGCTTCGGTCGCTTTTTTTCTTTGCCGTCTCCACGCAAGCCGGAACGGCCTAGCGTCATAAAATGCACTCCCTTTATCTATCGCAATGGTTTCCGCGCACTGGAAAGACGATAATCGGGACAAGGCATGTCGTTAATGTCGCGTTTCATATCCGGCCCTATAAATGAGCGAACACGGAGGTAAAGACAATTATGGAACGATATTTTCTGTATGCGGCGCAGCAAAAAAGCTGCACTAAAACACTGCAATGTTTTCTTTTTTTTTTTTTTTGCGTGTTTCGTTGCAGGCTACATCGACATGCGGTAGCATCGCGTGTTTTTTAGCCGCTCTCTTGCTTGCCGAACATCGCTCTCTCTCTCTACTCCGACGTTTCTTTGGCACGTCGGGCACGGCCACACTCAGCACGTCCCCGCTTTACTTGGGCTCTTCACTCGGCCGTTTCCTCTTGCGAGGCACTGACCGCGGTGACATGCAGTGAGCGCCTCGTACCGCGACCCACGGATGCGCGCCATAAGGACGCCACGTTTGCTCCAGCGCATGCGAATCCGTCACGATTACTTTAAGAAATGATACCGCACTCAATATCATCTGTTATGCGGATAACTGGGTGGTTTTGCAATGTCGATGTCGATGACCTTGACCACGGCGCAAGAGGAGAGATGTGTCTGAACAAGGCCAGAAAGGGGGGCCAAAGTTTCTTCACCTGGGCTTCGCGCATCTCCCGGCAATGTCGGATGAAGCCCCAAGCGCGTGAGCGACGAAGACGGGCCCTGCGCGGCAGTTTCCATGGCAACCCCCGCGGACGCTGTTACGTGGCGACACGAAATACGTTCACGTTACAGCGTCCGCGGAAATTGCACGACGGATTGTATTCGCACGATGGAGTTTCTCTCCGAGGAGAGGATTAAACGTCATCGAGATTTGACGTCACGTGCGCCGTTTCACGGATGTTCGCTAATTCTCCGAGCCCGCGGAGAACTTGCGACCGGCCTACAGAATGGGGAGTTTATGTGGACCGTTCTCCCACCTCCGCTACGCACTCCGGAACGAAGACGCCACTAGGGAGTTTTCGTAGACCACGTTTCCCCCTCCGCTAAGCACACCGCAACGAAGAAACCGCTACTGCGCCTGCGCGCCGTTGGCCTTGACTGCAGAGTTACGGGTATCGTAGTGGGTTGCGGAGTGCGTTGCCGGACGGCGAAAACGATCTACGAAAACTTTCTACTACTGCGCATGCGCGGCGCTAGCCTTGCCTGCAGGGTTCCAGATCTCATAGCGGGCTGCGGTGAACTTTGCGGGACAGCGTAAACGATCCACGGAAACTCCCTATTAGGGAGTTTTCTCAGATCGGGCCTTTTCTTTTGTCCCCCTTTTCTGGAAGAAGGACTACGATCAACAGTATTAAAGTGTGGGGTACCTGTCTTTTTTTCTATTTTCTGCCTTCTGTTCGATGAGCTCCCGAAAGCCAGCAACAGGTTAACGAAAAGAAAGACTTCGCCGACTCAACTACATGAGGCTCGGTCGTGCGAATGCTCGCTCGGATTTTCTGCAGCGCCTCCTTCTCCTCGCGGCCTTTCTTTCTCGCAGCTCTATGACGTGGTCGGTTTTCTCCGAAGATAAAGACACGTCGTTACTCGCAGATGTCAATTTCCCAACGTGCGCCGCTGAGCGCGCGATACGATAGCTCCCAGGTCATTACAGCATCAATCGCGCCCGAATAATCCGTAATGGCGGTACGTGGTCCCAGAGAGGTTGTTCAATGAATTGGGGTAGTTGCATTGCTTCGATTTATTTTTTCTGCCGCATGCTCGACACGGGGGGGGGGGGGGGGGGGGGGGGGGGGGAACCCAGCCGATGATTTTACGGGAACCAGCGTGACGAAAGAACCCAAGACCTTTTCGCTTCTTTGTTGTTGGAGCCCGCGAGCGATACGCCACGGTACGTTGCGTCGATGACATTGCACAATTAACTCAGTAAAGTGTGGCGTCGGAGCATAATGGGGAGATCCGTTCCATTACGAAGAAATTTAAGGTAATTCAACACCGAAACCTCAGGCTGTATATTGGCCATCGGGTGTTGGGCTTAGAAACATCTTAGGTGGGCCATTCTAGGTCAAAGGAGACGCAGCAATTTTTTCATGAATGGGATATGTACAAGAAAATTAATTTAGATAAAGACGCCTCTGAACTCAAAGAAAAGTATTTTTTTTTTTTTTGCTGATATCATGTTCTAAATTTCTGGAATTTACGTAAAACCCACGTAGTTAAGAAAAACATTGTGAAGAGCTTTCAGCCTTTCCACTCTGGTAAAGAAGGAAGACCAGCGAAGCTGCACTTCGATGGAAATGAAGTAATGGCCGGTCACAAGTCGGCAAGCTAGAGTGGAAAGGCTGGAGAGGTTACCGCCATCTATGATTGACGGCGGCACCCAGACAATTGGTAATCCGGTTGCCTGGTTGCCGCCGTCGCTCATTGATGGCGGTAGCTGTCCAGAGTTCTGTGTCCTCGTCTGTTTGCTGACGGAAACGATCCTGGGGAAACTAGCCCTTAACAGCTCCGCTTTAAAAATGGTTGCGTATCAAACCAATTTAGGTAGGCGCCTAATTACTCAATAATATTGTCACGAATGACGATCAATGAAGCGACAAGAAGATTAAGGAAACTAAACGTTTAATGGGGCGAACTTGTGCCCCCCAAAAAATAGAAGAAGGCTACACCAGGATCGAGCTCTCGGGTTAGACTGACTCCGGACCGGCCTGCGGAGCACCTTTTGTAATGGGTTTCTGGAACATTCGGCGTAGAATGTGCGTAGAACATTCGTAACTCGAACAGACGACAACGTTCTCGAACTTGCGAGAATGTCAAGTTCAAAGAATAAATAAAATTGTCAGGGAGGCCTTTCAGTTGTCCCGCCTTTAACGCAAGCTTCCAACCTTGAATAAAACTTCGGCGTCTCGTGAGCTTCGAGCATGCACGCGCGGTCAAAGCACGACGGAAGACGACTGGGCATTCGAAAGAGACGCCCCTCTTGCCTTGTCCGTGACATAAAAATGTCCAACACCCCAGTTATATTTAATCGGAGCCCGAGAAAATTTATAAATTATCTCGTCATCCCTCATTATTAATATTCTTGAAATCTCAATTTTCTAATAAAAGGATCACGACCAATGGCGCAATCAGCTTGTGAGGACGACGTGGTCTAAGATGGTATATTATTGCATGATAACCGCAGTACTACGTTTGAAACTCTTACGACAAGAAAAATTTTTGTTCATTGGTATTCGCGTAGTATTTTAATTTTTAAATACCCAATGCGTGCATGCGTAATGAAAGCCCATCCTGAAGGACTACTTTTCGGTCGAGCACGCGACTCCCCTGAAGCAAAGCTAGATTGGCAAAATCGCGATTCGTCGCCTGGCTTCCGAGCTATCAAGACGTATCGCGATGAGCTCCGTCGGAGCGGTAACGGCCGCTGATAGCCGTGGAATTTCTGCTGAGTTAGGCTCCCAAGGATACAGGATCGTACTGCCTCCCCTGCCGAAGGGCGTTCACGCCCTCAATTTTGTCTTTCTGCACGCCGACATTACGGCGCGGCCTTATCGCATTGAA